ATATTAAAAATTTAAAAAAAGAAAGAAATAATAATAAATAATTTATATTATTAAATTTAAAATTTATTTTTAATTTTATATAAATTATTAAAAAAATGAATAAATAATTATTTTAAATATTTAATAATACCATTTAAATTTATAAATATATCAATTATTTTTTAATAAATAATTTAAGATAATTTATAATAATTTCTTAGAAAAAACATCTTTATATATTTAGATAATATTCTAATTTATTTAAAAACCAAAAAATAATATGAAAAAGATGTATATAAAATATTTAAGGCCCTAAGAGAAGCTAAATTTCTTATAAACCTAAATAAAAATGACTTTTTTATTTAAAAATTTAATTATTTTAGATATATAATCTCTTTAAGAAGAATTAAGATTTAAAAATCTAATTATTTATAATTAAAAAATGGTTAATCTTAAAAATCATTATAGGAATATAAGTCTTTCATAATTATAATAAAGCCTTAATTAAAGATTTTAGAAAAATTAAAAAATTAATAATGGTTATAATATATATTAAAAATCTAAAAGATTTCAAATAGATATAAAAAATAAAAAAAATATTCAAAGAAATAAAAAAGATTATAATATAAGATCTAATAATAAAATTATTTAATCTAAATAAAAAGAAATAATTATATATTAATATTTTAAATAAAATAATAAGAATAATATTAAAATAATTAGAAGATAATGGAAAATAATATTTAATTATTTATTTTTCTAAGATCTTTAAAAAATTGTTACGTTCCAAGCTGCGGGGTAACACATATAATATAAAATTGGGGAACAGTGACTAATTGGTCATTGGGAAGCTTTTGCTTTATGGCTCAACTGGTTGTCCCCAAACTAGTTTGTGACAAAAATTAAAATTGAAATATAAAATATATAATTAGGAATTTATAATTATTTATTAAATATTAAAAAAAATAAAGACCTTAAATATTAAGAATTATTAAATTTTTAAAAATATATTTAAATTATTATAATTTTAAATCCTTTATAATTATTAAAGTTTGTAATAATAAATAATCATAATCAATAAATAATTTTATATATTTTAATTTCAAAATCTATTATATTAAAGAAAAAGAAAATATTTATATAGATATTCTTAATAAATTAAAAGATTTTAATATTAAAGAAAATAAAGGAAAAAAAAATGTTCTAAGAAATATTTAATAATATTTTAATATTATTAATAATTTATTTAACTAAATCATAACATAAATAAATACAAAGGATTAAAGAAAAATTTTTATAAATTAAAGATATTTTATTAATATAGGATTTTATTATTAAAGATACAGTATTATATAATAGGAAAATCTATATATTATTAATATTATAAAAAAAATTTATATAAAAGATATATAGATATCTTTTATATGGATATTTAAGAATTTTTAAGATTATTATATAATTATAGAAAGGATATGATTTCCCAAGAATCAAAAAAATAATTAAAAAGGTTATCTTAAATTATAATATTTATAATAAGGTTAAGAGAATTAAATATAAATTATATAGGTTTTTATAATTAATTAAAGTTCCAAATAAATTATAAAATATTATTATATAGGACTTTATTATTAAATTATTTAAATTATAATATTTAATAATTATAAAGATGAATATAATAATATATAAGTTATTATTAATAAACTTATAAAATATAAATATTTTATATTATTTAAAGAAACCTATATAGCCAAAGATTTAACTTTTAAATTTATTAAAAAAGATTATTTTAAATAAAGATAAGTTTTTTATTTTAAAATTCTGGATTAGTCTAATAAAAAAATTAAGAATCAAATAAAAATTCTTTATAATAACTTATTCTTAAATTAATAAATAAATAAAATAATTAAATTAAACATTAGAATAATATCTATAAAATTATATTAATTATAAATAAAATAATTAAATAAAATTTCTACCATTTATTATATCTTTATATAATATTTTAATAAATAATATTATAAGAATATCACTATAAAAAACATTATATAGATAATAAATAAATATAGAATATAAATCCTTAAAAAATGTAATAACCTTAAAATTAAAGGTAATATCATTTTAAATAAAGATATTTACTATTAGAACCTTAATATTATAAATTTAAATTAAAAGGCCAAATAAGAAATTAGACTTTAAAAAATTAAGATCTTTTTTAATTGAAGAAGTTTTTTCAAGAATAAATTATTATTTATGATTATTAATAAATATGAAATTAAGAATTAATATATTTTATATTATTATATTTAAATTAATATTTAAAAATATTAAATTTGAAAGAGATATTAAATTAAAAAAAGACCTAAAAGAATATAATATCAAAATCATTTAGGATTCTAGGATCATTAAAAATTATAAGAGTATCTTATAAATAAAAAGATTTAGGAATTAATTAAAGATTTTTATTATTAGAATCTTAATTAATTAAAATTTATATAATTATGATTAATAATAATATTGGATTAAGATTAAAAATTATTTTTAAAAAGGAAATAAAAAATATTAAAAAAGAGTTAATAAGAGGTTATTAAGTTTTGGATTCTTTTTGAACCTCTTTTTTTTTTTTTCCTTATTAAAGAGAAAATAATTAAATAACTTTTTTTTACTAATAAAAATAATATATTTGGCTAAGGAATTTATAGATTCTTTTATATTATTAATTTAATAAATATTAGATCTTTTTTTACTACTTTATTATAATTTTTTATTAAATATATAAAAAGGGTTTTAAGGTTTCTTTAACATCATAATATTCCTTTTAAAGCCTATTATATTTAAAATTTAAATTATTAAGGAAATTTATTATTATTATGTTATAATTAGGCCTTTATTTATAAATATAATAATTATATATATTATTTTTAAAAACATAATAATAAGATAAGTTATTGAAATAGGAATAATAGAAATATAAAGAATTACAAATATTAAATCTATTAATATAATTAATTTTATAATTACAGAATTTATATTATTTTATATATTTTAAGGAAATTAAGTTTTTTTAAATCCAATTAAATATAATTAATATAATGGATAAAATATATAATATTTAAGAAAAGAAAAAAGATATTTATTTATTTTTTATTCTTAAAGGATGAAGATCTTAAAAATAAGATATAATATTATGAATTAATAATATTAGGTAATAATTAAGAAATTAGAAATAAAAACACCCCAAATTAATCACAGAGGAACTATAAGGGATATGATTTTGTTTATCTATATGATTTAAGATAATTTGGATGATCTATATAATCTAGATGATCTAGGATTAAATTAATTAAATCAACTAGATTACAGTAATAACAAACTTTAAAGAAAAAAAAAGGAATAATTATATAATTATAGATATTTCTTATATATTTAATTATTTTTTTATAGTTTTTTAATTATTAATCTAAGATTATTCTTTTAAATATAATAAAAGGATTCTAAACTTCTTTAATAAACAGAATTTATTTAATTATTTAATTTATTATTAATATTATTACCTTCAAATTAAGATATCCCGGATTAATCAATCTAATAACGGTTATACCTCTTTAAGACATAGGTTTGTCACATTATATAATTATTTTTTTTTAATATTTAAAATTATTATAATTTAATTAATTTAATTACTCTTAATCATATAATTAGATTCATTAAATCTTATATATGCCATGATTCTTCTGTCATTAATCCATTATATCTTACCTCTTTTAGGCTCCTAGGACAATCATCTTACTGGTTTATAACATTAATCTTATTTAAAAGGTATATTATAAATAAGTATAAATAAGGATATTTAATTTTATTTATACATAAATGGAAGGAAGGAATATTTATATAAATTATTAAAAATCTCATATATTTAATTATTCTTTTAAATATATTAAAAAAACTCTAAACTTTTTTAATAAATAAAATATATTTTATTATTTAACTTATTATTAACACTGTTATTTTCAAATTAAGACATTTTGGATTAATTAATTTAATAATGATTATATCTTTTTAAAGTATAGGTTTATCATAATTAAATTCTTTTATTTATATTTATTTATAACATATCTTTTTTAAATGAAATGAAATATCCTTATCTATTTTTATTTATATTTTATATTACTTTCCTTACTTTATCCTTACCTTACTTCTTTAAGGATAAATAATATCCTAAAGGGCTACACCTTTATAAAAAAGTTTAATTTATAATATATTCTTTTAAATATAATAAAAGAATTTTAAGTTTTTTTAATAAATAAAATATATTTAATCACTTAACTTATTATTAATATTATTATCTTTAAATTAAGATACCTTAAATTAGTTAATTTAATAATGATTATATTATAATAAACTTATGCTTTAAAACAGATATAGTCATTATTAAATTAATTAATTTAAAGTATCTTAATTTAAAAGTAATAATATTAATAATAAGTTAAATAATTAAGTAATTTCTTTTATTATATTTAAAAGAATAATTTTAAATTAATAATTAAAAAGTTATAAAAAAAGTAATTAAATATATAAAAAATGTTTATAATTTATATAATTATTCCTTTTTTCTTTTTTTAAAATTTGATATTATTATAATTTAAGTGATCTGTTTATTTAATTATAAATTTAAATAATCTAATAGGTTTAATCTTTTTATATAAGTAAATTTAATAGATTTTCCTGATCCTTGATGTTTATTTATAATTGGTTATAATATCTTTATTTCTTAGGTCTTTAAATGGTTGCCTGTCAGCTGATTTATAACATATACCTCCCCGAGGCATAGGTTTATCATATTATAAAATAATTTTAAATATTTTAATAACTTTTAAAATTAATTTTTTTTAAAAAATTTAATATAATAATTTAAGAAATTTCAAATATATTATTTATCTTTTAAATTTCTTTTTAATTTTTTTCTTTTTTAAGCTTAATTTTTAACCTTTTAATGTTATTTTTTAATAAAGTGGTTCGAACAGGCCTCCGTAAAAGGTCCTCTTAATGCTTCCCAAGTTATATCGCTTCATACAGCTTAACTACCGGCCCAGGTATTCATTATCTATTATCATTACTTGTTGTTGTCACATCTTACCAATCATTAAGACGGCAGCTTAAAGCTTCTACTAACTCCATTATTCTTACTACGTATAATGTTAAATACATAATCCGATGGCATTTACCACGGCATACTTAAACATTCTCTATCCCCTCTGTATATCTTTATAACATTTCATCCTTCACATCTGCATACCTGGAAGATGGTCGACCCCTATTCCCTTATTAGCAAATGAATCAGGTTTGTTATCAGTATCTCCGAGAACTTACATCCATCTGTATCCTCGCCAACCATGTCTGGAACGGTACATTGGTTAGCAACAGCCATGGTCTGCTTGGTAATCGATCCACAGCCGTCGTAGAAGCACTCGGACTTGTTCATGGCGCGCTGTAGTGCATCACCCTTCCAGCCGAACATGTAATCGGCGTGGGTGCCATAGCCGCTAGTACCGTGGAAGCTCCACACGAACGGGTTCGGGGTGCCTGAGGGCCACAAGCTGTTGAACTTGGTAGTGTCCCAGACAGTCTCATAAGTGACCTGAGGCATGCGAACGGGGTGCGACGCCGGGCACTTGGGAGCGTTTGTGAAACCATCACGAGTGATGGTGTTGTACATGTGGGACTGGTGGTCCGGGCTGTCGAGGTTCTTACCATCCCAGCATCTGTGCACGGTTATTAGCAATGGATTTCTCTGAAAAGTGTTTCACCTACGCTGGGAAGTGGTGGACAGCGAAGATACCGCCCGGGCAGGGCCTATCCGGGAAGTCCACCATTTCGGCGCCTCTGTTGATCGTGGTCTGGAGGCAGTTGTATCGTAGACCGATGTGGCCTTTGGCCTGGTCCAGAGTCTCTGTGGTCGGGCTGCCCACAGTCATTCGGAATCCCTAAACAATATTAAAACCCCTAACCGCAACATGCGTTCTGGTGGACTCACCGGTGGGAACGCCGTGATGTACTGATTCTTCAGGTCATCAGTAGAGAAGTCGTGTTGGGTGTAGTAGATGGTCATTCCACCCTTGGTGCCTGCTGCGAGGGCCGCGTTGTTGGTAACTGGAACTCGGTGGTAGGAACCGTTGGTAGGGTGCTTGAAGTACAGGACAGCAGTCCAGTAGTTGGAAAAGTCCTCAGACATCTCGCAAGTGGTGCAGGTGCCCCTGGCGCCAACATCGCCAGTCATGGTGGCGTTGAAGGCATTTCCACCGACAATGTGGTGGAGATGCGCAGAGGGGTTGTTTCCGGGCTCGACAACCGGGTCCAGACGTTGAGTAGTTAGCGATGAGCATCCAAAGCGAAGACCAGCCTGGACTGGCGCAACGAGCGCAAGAGCGATGGAGAAAGACTTCATCTTGGCAGCGAACTGACTGATTTTGGCGATGAAGACGTGCAGAAGTAGGCGGATACAGGCTTTACATCCCGGTGCCAGTTCCTCTCTTATAAGTGCGCTTCCATCTAGACGAGGGCATGCATGCACAGCAACCAACTTACCGCTGCCTGCCTACCATGTATAAACATAATATATTTTCCGCGTGCTGCATATCGCGGTAGTTGAATGCCAACCCAGAGAAGGAGGCGAGATGCTATACATTGTCCCAATAGGGAAATCGGTCCTCGTCCGCATTACTGGATCTATTTAGCCGGCAACATGGCCTTTTAATTTGCACATAAGAGAGGTTCTCCATCTACTCTTGTTTCAATACGGTAATTGCTGGGGTTTTTTCTGATTGCCGGTAAAACTGGTTACCCTACCACCCTCATGGCCACCCCCTTCTCTTTCTCTTTCTCGCCTGCACGTTTGGCTCATACAAATGCCGTGGACACCTAAAGTGCTCGACATCACCCTGCATCTGGGCTAGCTCATAAGCTATATATTCAACGGGGTTAGGCAGTCATGGGTTGATTTGTAAGAGACCATAAGACGAAGGTAAACACGACGTGCTAGGAGCTAAAACGCACTTCTCGAATGATTTGGAATTAATCGTTTAGTCTCTCGACGGGCCGAGTCCTGAAATGAAGATGTAGGGATGTGAGATGGCAAGGAAACGGTAATGCCATAGCTAAAATCAATGTCGAGGGATAGGGGATCTATGGTCTTGGTTGAGAGTATGAAGCCGTTCAACCGGCATATGCACTGAACATAACCCGAGATATAGTAAGACCCGGTCTACCCTCGGCCGGAGCTTACACTTCCTGGATCACGGCGCGGTAATGAGGACATCAAGTCATAGCCGCTGTACGGCTGCTTTCATTCGATAATCAGATAACCTCGAGCATCGTCAGTCAGCATTCTTCCTATAGCCAATATTATGACGAACCAAATACGATACATTTTTGTAAGCCTTAACTAACATCTGTCTTCGTGCAGGTGTACTATGTAAGATTAGTGCTAGGCTCGGGAGCGTTGAGTTGGCCCAGACGCTCTTGTTGAGATTCTCGTTAAATTATCTTCCAACTCGTCGCTAGGGTCTTCGGAGCTAGTGTACATCCCAGCTTAATAAAGGGAAGGGAATACCATACGGTCTATCGAGATTGAAAAAGTACTGTGTCTCTCATTAGCCAGTCATACAGTTATTGACTAGCGATATAGTGTGGCTTGGATCTTCTTGTAACGCAGAAAGTTACCTAGTTAGATATCTTCGCGGTCAGAGATTATTCTAAAGCTAAGCTGAACTACGGGCTTCTTCCTTTCCCCCCTTTGTCCCTCGCTTCAACATCGGTCCCATTGTAGAACAACATATTGCTGGGCAGGTTGTGGCCCAACAGCGCAAGCTAACTAGTGGGAACCTGTTTCGTTCCTTCACGACACCGCCTCAGCTAATAGTCAGATGAAAACTCACCGGTATTTATTCCTCTGTGGAAGTTACGGTTTATAAGGTATTTGCCATGTTTGAAATTCGCGGGGGTTAGAGGAGGGCACTTGTCGCCTAAATCAAGAGCATTTCACCTTGCGTTATACATTCTCAGTATTGAGCCGGCGGTAACCTGAGTCCTCGTCCTAGTAGCAATGTGCATGATACCAACAAAAATATACTTGCCTTCATAGTGATGACACATCCTTCATCAACATATAATTAAATGATGGCGTATATAATTGTTTTGCTCTACCAGCAGCTGTAACAATTGTAAGGGAAAGGATATTTTATTATTGGATTAGGGATTAGGATCTAAATATTCTGTATGAATAATCACACGACTATACCTATCTAGGTGACATTGCCTTACCCACCGCCCTCCTTCCATACAGCTTAGTCTCATTGTGAGCATGTTTCATAGAAGGACGAATTAAAACTTGCTCATATCGCCGAATATCTGTGGGGGTGGAACATATAGTCGAATCAGGATTCACGCATTTGTTTTTGAAGGAATGTGAGAAGTTATATTATATAAACCCTCTAGATAATTATTCTGTAAATCATTAAGTGGCCGATTTTAGCTGGTAATTTGACGATAAAAAACATCATGAAGTGGGCTTCAGCTCTGTCCTTCACCACCACAGCGTCTCTGTTTACAACTACCCGAGGAGGTCATGGTCTTATAGGATATGGCCAATGGTGGTATGATCCAAAGTGTTGCTACGCATGTCGTGGCGTTATCGCATCTGCTCCGCTTGAGTGCCCTGATGGTAGCGTGGGCAACGCGGATACGGGAATGGATATGAATATGGCATCTCCAGCTGTGTCTTGTATTTCTGACAATACTGCCTTCTTAACTACGCTCGCTTATTGCATTAATTCGACATGTTATGGTGATCAAGTGGGAACGTGGGAAATCGAGAAATATTGGGCTGATGAGGCCACTAGTGACCCATCCGTACCCCCTAAATGGACTTACGGTATGACTCTTGCGAATATAACCCAAGCGCCGACCAGGATATGGAGAGGCGGTACAGTGCTTAACTACACTGCGCTTCTCTTGTCTAGCGATTACGAATATCAGAAATCCTTTGACGATCTCTTCGACTGGGAAGAATATATCCAGTCCACATACGTTATTATCATTATTATGGTCGGTGTGGGGACTCCGGTGCTAATGTCTTTCATCAACTACCTTCCTTGGGTGACTCGCCTCCTCGATAGGTTGAAGCCGTACCTAATATACCCGTCTGCGATAACCACGAGATCGCTCCCATGGCTCTTGGGAAATATGCCAACCAGGGGAGAGAGCCTTTATATCACTATGTTTATTACCCTCAACATCGTACTCAGCGCTGTCTCGTATCGGGGATTCGATAAACCGCACCCTTGGGGATTTACTCCTGCTGGAGAGATCATGGCGTACGTAGGGTATCGCACTGGTCACATCTCCTTTGCGCTCCTGCCATTGACAGTGTTGTTCTCTTCCAGGAATAACTTCCTCATTTGGCTTACAAACTGGCCGTACTCAACCTTTCTGGTGCTCCATCGTTGGGTTGCGCGGGTCTGTGCTCTCCAGGCGGTAGTACATTCTATCACACTCCTTGGCGCGTATAATACAAATGGTGTCTATTACACTGACGTCCACAAGCCTTATTGGATATGGGGCGTTGTAGCCACCCTATGCCTCGTGGTACTGCTGTTTCAGAGTGCTACTTGGTTCCGTCGCGCATCATATGAGGTCTTCTTGATATTTCATATCCTGCTCACGGTTTTTGCAATCGCTGCTTGCTGGTACCACGTCATGTACTGGAAGGGATTTACGGGGATTTATGAGTATTGGCTCTATGCTGTTTGCGCTACCTGGTTCTTCGACCGCCTCATACGCGTGCTGCGTGTCTGCCAAAATGGGGTTTGCAGGGCAACAATAGTGGAAATCGACACGAACAACATTGTTCGCGTTGAGGTTAAGGGGCTAAGATGGGCGTCTGAACCCGGCTACCACGCTTACGCTTATTTCCCGACCCTCCATCCCCTCCGCCCTTGGGAGAACCACCCATTCTCTATCGTCCATAGTGCCACGTTATACGCACGGAAAAACATGTTTGTTGATCCGAGCGACATCATGCGGCGTGATATAGAAGAAGGGCCGGACAATAAGCGTGGGGGGATGACCTTAGCTTCCCAGGAAACGGAGGCCTCTAGTGGTGTCGTTATGTACATTAAAAAACATCACGGAATATCGAAATACCTCGAAGGTTGTCATAGCCTACCTGTACTCCTCGATGGTCCTTACCGAGGTAATGCGCATAAGGAGATACTGAAGTGCGATCGTGTGCTTCTCATCGGCGGTGGTATTGGTATCACTGGATTGCTCTCGTGGACAGATAAACATTTCAATGTTAAGCTAGCCTGGAGCCTGAGAGAGACCGCGAAGCCGCTTGCGCATGATCTCTCCACGGTCCTGAGTAATATTCCTGATAAGGAGATCCTGGTTGGAGAGAGATTAAATGTAGATGCATTATTGTTGCAAGAGATACAGGCAGGATGGGAACGAATTGGAGTGGTTGTCTGTGGCCCTGTTGGGCTTTGCGATACGGTACGCAAGTCAGTCGTAGCGTTTGGGAGAAAGGAAAACACCATATTTGAGCTTGCGACTGAGGCGTTTTCGATGTGAGCTTAGCGGAAATGGACTGTAAATAGCTCCCGGGACAGCGGACCATATCAAGGTCAGGATAATCGCACAGCCTAGAACGTATGAGTTACCTAGACCTTCGTATGGGAGGCGGTTAAAATTGACGGTTTATGAGGATAATTATAGTGAACTCGGACATCTCACACTTAAGATTACATATTTCAACGTGATATATTGGGTTGACATGAGAAAACAACATATATATCTCTATGGGAGCGAATATTAGTGTAGGTCGTGTGTTGTTTTACCCCTTTTTACACCCACCGATTGAATCTATACTTTATCGGCTCCTACATCACGACGTAGAAGTCAGAAATAAAACCAAAAATCATTATATTAATTTGATAAATTCTCTATATTCTTATGCCCATTAATCATTTTAACTATTTCTATGATCTTGTAAGTGCTCTTTAAACATAATGAGCCGCCGTGAATGCTTGGTAGGCGCTTGGTAGGCGCACGGATAATCATGATCTTTTATTATACAGAGTTGTCGTGGGGTAACGCATTGGCAAATATAATAAATCTACTTAACACTAGCCTCTACCCAATTTGGTACCACACGGTTTAAAAACCTCATAAACTTAATGAAACCTACGGCATACTCTACGTTTCCCGCTGGATCGACTACCTGTTCGGGGAACGCTATGCCGGCGCCGTAAAGACCTGGGATAGGTTGTCGGGTTTTTTGATCTGTAAAACCGCCAGTTTGGTGGTTGAATGCTATGTCTAGCTTCATGTTAGGTAGGACGTCCCTGGTGAACCCTACTGCTTGCACGATATACCCGCAAGCAGGAAGTTCCTGTAGCATAGCTTGAGTCTCCTTTTCAGGCCCACCGGAACAGTCAATTCGACTTATGATCTTGCCCACGTTGCTGTGCGAAAGCTTGTCACCGTCTAAGTTCTCCCTAGCGAACTGCGCAGCTCGACCTTTTAGTCCTGTATTGTCGTAAAGTATCCAATCTCCTTTATCTTCGGCGTACTTGAGCTGCGTCGCACGAGAAAACCAACGGACGCGAAGTAGCGGGTGAGAACTCTGACTTAATGCATATAAATTCATGAGAACTAATACCGCACTGTGCGAAGCGCCTATAACGCCGACGGAGACCTCTCGGTCTCGGGGGAGCGTTTCTGAGAGGAGTGATGGTTTTAAAGATGTGTCAAGATCCAAAAGTGTTGGTGTGCGCGAAAGAGGCTTGGGTAAAGGGACGAGAGTGGGTGAAGAGCCGGTACAGTACACGACAAGTGGCGCGGTAATGCGCTGACTCTCGTTAGAGTTGTCATCCTGTACGCTCAATGACCACGCCGAGCTCTCGTCAACCCATTCAGCCTGATTCACGGTGCCTTTCCAGCTTGCAACCCGGTCGTTTTTAAGTAGGCCATCTGACAGCATTTGCAACATTTCCCCGGCATAATGAAGTGAACAGGTGTCATCTGGAGAAAGACTTTGCAAAGTAGTGAGAGCATTGGGATTTTCAGCGGCTTCGGCGATATTTCTGAAAGGTTCGACTGCTTCACCATATGCGAGAAAATAACTGACTTTCGTGTTACTTGGCACTTCTCTATACCGGGCGTTGATGCGACCCCCTTGAAATAGAGGATCTATCCAAGCTACCGAAGAATTAGGATGAAGGAGTTCAAGAAGGTTGCCAACGACAGCAATGCCAGAGGCGCCTCCTCCAACAACAACGGCAGTGACTGCAGAAGAGGAAGCGGGTTTAGAAGAAGTATGGCTAGCCATGCAACGACGTTGATCCATTACGATGATGAATTTGGAAGAGGATGGTAAGGTCCTTAGAGAATTAATTAGTGGTGACTAATGTTATAGAGGATATATGGTGTATATAACATGGGGCCCGTTAGAAAACATGGAAGAATTATAAAGGCAAAGATGGGTGAGGATGCCACCTACCTCCCATGGGCCCAGAGGCGCCCAAGTGGCACGCATCTTGTCGTACAGCTGAACCGCATCTGTGTATCTGTTGGATATTGGATATACCGTTCTATTCCCCCCGTCCTCTTATCAGGAATGAATATTCGTGGGCGAATCAGACTTCTTTCTCCACTTAGAAATCGAGTTTGGTATCTATTCTTCGCGCATGTAAATGATAATTAATGATACTGAAATTAAAATATAAAGATTAGAAGAGAAATCCCGTTATTTAGTTTAACATTATGAAGACGACGATGAGACATAACTGGAGATAAATAATGAATTTTGACGCGGCTCTCGCTAATGGTCGTAGAGTGGACCTAAAGCTTAACACGGACAGCGACGGGTTAGCTAGAGGTACCTGCCTATGTACTATTAGGTAAGCTGGCTACATCATGGCGAAGTACCTAAAGATAGGTACCCACGTGGTATGTGTCTGAATTTTAGTACGAAATGTCGGACTGTTTGGTAGACCGAGAGCCGAGACCGAGTTCCGCAGTAGATTCGTGAGTCAGTACCTAGGTACCTAAGTCTGTATTCGCGGTGTCGGCCATCACCGACAATGCTGATAAGGTTCAAAACGTTGTTTCGTGGACTCCCGATATAGGACATCGGCTGCATACGATCGGGATACCCCTTTGCGTCATCCACTCATCCACGCCAGCCATATTAAAAAAAGACCAACCCAACCCATCTTCATATCTTAACAAAGACCATCAATCATCTTTGTCCTATGGCTATTCATCGCTATCTCCCTACATCAATCACTCCACGACATCTCTTGCAAAGTCTTAAAGCAATTCATTCTATCCAAGCCCACACACCTACATCGGTCAAGACAAGAAGAGTAAAGATGTCGCCAATTATAGTAGAACCTCTAACACTTCCGAAAACCTCGGGTGTCAATTTCGGCGCCATCGTCCGCAATGCAAATATCAACAATCTCACTGGTAAGATCTGTACAATATATTATGTGATGGAACTGTCTGAATACACGTAGTGGGAGAATACCCGTAAAATCGGTAACCTCCTTTGGTAAGCTACTTGACTACCTCGTACTTGTCGGTAGTAGCTGACCATGGTATTAGATTCCGACTTTGGTATCATTCGCGATGCCCTCTTTGCCCACCAAATCCTCGTCTTCAAGGACCAAGGTGGCACCTCGCCCAAAGCCCAGTTTGAGTTAACGCAGAGGTTTGACCCTGCTGGCACTTCCTACGGCCACGGTAAGACAATTGACGCCAAGCGGAGTATCTTACACCCGGATCTCAAGACAATTCCCCACCAACCACAGGTGCAAGTTATTGGAAATGGTTTTGTACCGGAGTATGAGGGCTTAAAAAACATTAAACTTAAGCATCCCCATCACAAGACTTTCCATGCAACTACCATTCCGGCAGAAGAGGACCTTGACTTCACTCGCTTCTACCGATGGCATATTGATGCTGCTTTATATGGGCTTGCTCCTCCCATCGTGACCACCCTGTTCGCGGTCAAAGTTCCAAACGGCCGCCGCCAAGTTTGTCGCTATGATGATGGGACTGGTGACGAATTGGAAGTTCCGCTAGGCACTACCGCATTTGTGTCTGGTTACTCGATGTACGATCTCCTATCCGACGCTGATAAAGAATTTGCACGGACCACGCGGATTGAATACGCGCCCCACCCATACATTTGGATTAGTAGTGCGAAATCTCGTTCTGATGGATTGGGTATGATCTCTCAGGGATTAGAGGTCTCCTTTGAAGACTTACCGCCAATCCAGCAGGACATGATTCAGGTCCTCCCTCTCTGCTGGCGAAACCCTGTCACGGGGAAGCTCGCCCTTCAGGTACACCCATCTCCTGTTCGAAGACTTCACCTGGCGGACGGAACTACTATTGACGACCTCGCCGAAGTCCGCGAAATCATCCATCGGTTGCAACGTCCCGGAATCGGGCCCAAAATGGTCTACGCTCATGATTGGGAGGAAGGCGATTTTGTGTTGTTCCATAATCGTGGGTTGCTTCATTCTGTGGTTGGAGCCTTTGCAGAGGACGAGGTTCGATTGTTCCGACAATGTAATATTGCAGCAAGTCACTTCCCCGAAGGCCCTTAAGTAGGGCATCGATATGTACTATATGACCCGTATCGTTTTTTAAATTGTTATGATTAGGGGTCTTACTTTTATCGGTTACGAGCGACTTTTATATAGACTAATGGCATATGTTTCCTTTGAAAGATTGGCACGGCCCATACTATTTAGTTGTCCGTCATATGTCTGAACTAATTATCTATGACTGAACTTATATTTTGGATTATTCAATCATTGTCCCATTCACTAATTATTATATATTTCGATTGAACTAACCTTCTATCACAGACTCAATCCACGACCTGTTGTATGGATTGGTTAGAACAGTCCCGTCCTAATGATTATACCCTTCACGCTTTCAACATGGTACTGGCTCTCATATCTGATGTCTACCTAGCAGGTGTCTATCCGACCGTCAATAATTGCTCGTAGAATGCAGCAACATTATTGAAGTTATCGCGAAGATGGATTTCAAGAATCCAATGTCGCTTATTTCCATCTTTGCCGGGACTGCCCATAGATTGGTCGTTTCCCTTGGTAATGTATAAGACCGTCTTGTCACGGGGGATCCGTTCGTGGGGAAACTGCCCAACAAGGTGTCCAGCGAGCCAAGCGCCAAACTCCCAACCGGCATTGCGGGCTTCTTCGCAAGCAATGTCGTATAGTTGTTCGCCCGTCATATCTGGGTTCTTATGATACCGTGTCTTGACTGTGTTCCACACCGGCTCGAGCGAGTCACGTAATCGCTTCTTATTAGGATCATCTCCGAGCACAAAGGTACGTGCGAAGTCGGCTTCCCAAGCCTCAAAAACCGGCCCCAAGTCGACGTACACAATATCATCCTCCCCGATAACACGGTCAGGGGGGTTATCTTCAAATGGTCGTAAGGTGTTGGGACCACTTCGAACCACTCTCTTATGCCAATGAGTTCTAACACCATGACGCTCTGTGCCGAGCTTATGGATCTCATCGCTCAACGTCTTTTCGCTAACCCCGGGTCGAATCAGCATCTGCTCTATCTCTTCAAAGAGTTGTACAGCTTTGTTCTGCGCATCTTGAAGGTAAGCTGCTCGCTGTTGCTCCGCTTCGTTCATTATATCTAGTTGCCTCTCGTGAAAGTCGTGCTTAGTAAGCTTATTTGGAAGGTGAGAGGGGTTCGATAGAGGAGGAGTAAGCTTATGATACTCTTTATACAGAAGGATGTAGTATAGTTAGGTTGGCCTGGCCCTAGGAAGATACTGAGGGGTAGCTCCTTATGTAGCTTTATGTAGCTTTATACCCAGCTAGGCATCTCCTATCTCGCAAGGAACGATAAACTGATTACATAACATACACCGCTATAGGTCTCGCTTATTTCCTAGACCTTGAATATCCTACGGTATCATATACTATACTGGAAAAGTGCCTAGGTACTTATGTATTAGCAGTAAATGATGATAACCTGTTTCATGTCTGTAATCCTTGGGAGAGATTTAATGGGTCGGTTATTTTTAAAAGGGGGGATAGAGAGCATGAAAAATTCCAGGCTGGTGAGAAGCCCGGACGCCCCCAAGGTTACTCATATGGGCTTTTAAAGCGGCCAACTTTTATAACTTGCAGAGCGAGCATTGGTAGATGAGCACAGACAGCGATACTACCAAATCCCTCTATCGTGAAGTAGCTTATAAGAGTAGTCTATGTCTAGATATCTTACCATTCCTCTATGCCGTGTTTTTTTTTCAGTATGCCAACATGATTATTACTCTGATAAGAACCCCGGAAATAGATACTGGACCTTTTTTAGGGCTTCGGGATTCCGGCCTTCAGGCTTGGTGCAAAACATAACGGCGCCCTTGCTGGCACCCTCCCAATGCTTGGCAGTAACCAAGTCACTGTTTTCATTTTTGCACAATTCATCCAGAACAGCGCCTACTAGCCGACGGGCGTTCTTGCTGTTACTCTCCATATAGTGCATGACCATAGATACGTCAACATCTTCTGTCGTGTGCCAGCAATCATAATCAGTGGCCATGCAAATAACCTGCAATGCTATCTCGGCTTCTCTAGCCAGCTTGGCTTCCGGCAACAACGACATGCTAATCACGGAACCGCCCCAAGAACGGTAGAGGTTCGACTCGGCGCGGGTCGAGAATTGAGGTCCCTCTAGTTTACCGAGTATGATTAGTATATAAACCACGGGCTTACGAATTGGTAGCTCCAACTCTTCTAAGGAACGATGAGGGAAAGAAGCAAAAGGGGGATAAGTGACATCTAGTTTAGCAACCTACCCATACAGATGGCAGTTCCGGTTCCATGTAATACCACACCGTCACCCTGCATGGACTTTGCGCACTGGCGCACAACCTGGGCAATCTTGTCATCGTAGGGGTCACCGAAGGATACGTGGCCGACAAGACCGCCCTCAAAGAAGGTAGATGGTCGGACACCCTTGGTGCGGTCAATTACTTGGTCGGGTACGACGAAGTCCATGGGTTTGATCTCTTCGCGTAGGGAGCCTACGGCGGAGAAGGCGACGATGGAACGCACACCGATGTGACGTAGAGCGGCGATATTGGCACGGGCGGGAATTTCGTGAGGGGCATATTGGTGATGGGCACCGTGACGGGATAGAAAGGCGACAGGAACACCACCGTGCTCGAGGATAAGTATGGGAGCTGAGGGATATCCCCAAGGTGTCAAAGGGTTGACGCGGGCAATGGGTGTGTAGCCTTCGATCTTGTAAAGTCCAGTACCACCTATTACGGCGATATGAACAGGACCTGTAGGCAAGTAGGAAATTATCGTATTAGTTAGTAATCTCTCTGGATGAAGCTATCGCGAGAAGGGAGAAAGATGGTGTGATGGCGGGGTAATTCGGGTAACACTCACGATCGAAGGTTTCGGGGAGGTCGGACATTGTCGTGTAGATTCGTTGACGTGTATTGAGAAATTGATATGAGTTGATACCCGTTTGTAGATAGAACTACTTCTCCCTTTTCCGCGTCGTTGTCGTGAGAAATTATGTCTCTTTGGTTGTTGTCGCGGTGACGGATTTATAATTTATGTACTCGAATAGAAATTTTATGATAAGGGATCGTCGATAAGTATAAAATGCCCCTCCCCCTCTTTTTACCTCATACCTACATAGGTCCCTCCAGGGCTATCTAGCTGCAGCCTAGGTACATACGTTGGTGGGTACCTGCCCATATAAGGTACCCATACCGGAGTGGACCTGAGATTAGTGGTTATTTCAAGGATTTTGCCCTGCAGGTGGGGCTCGAAGTGCCTTAAACACCTGTAATAGTCACCGAATAAGCTTGGAGCTGGAGCTTATTACAGAACCCTTTTTCGTCTTGTGAACATATCCCACTCCTCTTTTCTCTACATCGTACACACACTGAGTAGGTGTTGTCATTGACCCATTATCAAGACATCTCAGATTTACTCTGTATCTCGAATGTGTGCCTAGGTAGATATGATATCTACTTGCCTCCTTTTATTATATATTTCAATTCAATAGCTTCAATTGCTACTATTTCCAACTGATTAGCATCAACTTGCTTAGATTACAAACCACTTCGTGTCTATACTTAGATGCTCCATTAAGTCTACAAGACATGACGCTTGTCTACCTTGAATCAAATTGCTCTCTCGACTTACATGATAATGTGACTTCATTTTTATAGGAACCGAGCCCAATACATGCTAAGGTCACCACGAGATGATCATCGTGCACGAATTGCCGGGACAAGATAACAGTCACTATGTCGGCTAATCACACCGACTAATAATATCGCACCCGCGCCCGCTCCCATCTTGTATCGGTTCCATTTAGGGAAATTGTCGGTTAAGTGACGATATCACCGCTCCATGCCAACCTCACCCTGTTCGTCATAGCGTTATGATGTTATGATGTTATCCCCTACGGCCGGGAGAAGTCCTTAGGGAGGGGGTTTAGTCATGGGCACGATCTATTCAGGAGCTTCAACAGCTCCTATGTTGGCCGTTGCTGTTTTACCTCCTTCACCGTTTGAGCGCCCTCATCCTTTCCTCTAGGACGTGGAAGATCGCGTCGACTTACGTCTTCCACGATGTATTTCGACATCCTGCCAAGTGTGTGTTTCGTACTAGCAATCTCACGGCTCGTTGTTGCTCAGACGATTATTGTAAATGGTCAAGTCCTCGGTTAGTTAGATCGCAATTTTCTCATGCCCCAAATATAGAGAAAATCACTTCTCAACGGACTAACTGACCTAATACTTCCTTAATCCTCAAAGCTGCTAACGAGTCCACCGTCACTCCCGCCTTCGTGACTGTTAATGCCTCGGCCTCTAATGCGACAGCCGATCTCTTCCCTGGGGAAACCCGCCAGCTTACCGATGTTGTCCTAGCGAATCTTACCGATCTTGGCCTAACAAATATCGTGCTGTTTGGTTTCGCGGACCCATCAACAGCCGCTAATGAGTCCATAATCGGGCCATGTAAGACTTTCCCTGGGGAATTTGTCGTATTTCCAGGCGATATCACCAATAGGGTCTTTAACCTCCTCTTGGGCGGCAGCCTCATCCAAACCAAACCGTTGGCCTCGCCATGCTATAGCGACTATGGAAATCAGGATAAAGCTAAATGCGATGAGATCACCTCTCACTGGTCAGATGACCCTTATATTCAGTGAGTAAACCTACCTAGTCCTAATACAACTGGGGTTCGAGGACCGTGGCTGAAACTCGATCAAGCACGAACGACCCGACCTCTATTAACGCGATCCTTTTTGAGGGGACATCGTGTGTGCCCCATACGGTGAACCCATTTGCGCTTAACTGTACCATCGGGGCATATCCGAAAATGTCGGTTAACGTAACCACCGTATCTCAAATCCAATTAGCTATAAATATAGCACGCAATTTGAATTTACGATTGGTTATCAAGAATACAGGCCATGACTATGGCGCGAAAAGTACGGGAGCAGGCGCAGTTTCCCTGTGGACTCATAATATGAAAGATATCAAGTACTACGAAAACTACGAGGAAGGGTCGTACAAAGGTCCAGCGTTTAAGATGGGAGCCGGGGTTCAAGTATTTGAGGCATATGAAGCTGCACATAAGCAGAACCTCACAATCGTTGGCGCGGAGGGCAAGGTGAGGTCGCACCTTGTTACTACGCTTATCCGTAACGTGATGAGATACTAACGTGGATATATACAGACAGTTGGGCTTACGGGGGGTTATATCCTAGGCGGTGGCCATTCTCCTTTATCCAGTCTATATGGTTTAGCTGCGGACCAGGTCGGTTTACTCACATAAATTTGCTACAATGGCAAATGCTAAAACTCGAAATAGGTCCTGTCTATGGAGATTGTATTGGCTGATGGCCGCTTCGTTACTGCCAGTGAGACGTCCAACCCCGACCTATTTTGGGCTCTTCGAGGTGGAGGTGGATCGACTTATGGAGTTGTGACGTCCATGGTAATCAGGGCATTCCCCGAGATCCCAGTCACGACGATGAGCTTCAGCCTATCTTCAGGGGAGCAAGTATCGATCGAACAATTCTGGGATGCCGTACATGCCTATTTTGAAGGCTTTATTAATTACACCGATGCCGGCAACTACGGCCATTTTGTTCTTAATGCAACGAGTGGTAACTACGTCTGGGATATGGCACCTTGGTTCGCCCCGAACATGTCTAAATCTGAATTCCAAGCGCTTACCGACCCCTTTCTCCAGAAAGTGAAGGGTATCGGTATCGACCTGAAGCCAATCTACCAGGAGTATACCAATTTCTATGACGCATGGGATAAGTCTTTCCCCTTGGAATTATGGGGCTCTAATCTTGCGCGGTACGGCAGCCGGCTTTTCCCGCGAGAAAATTGGGAGAATTCGACAAAGCTCTCCTCCACCTTCGAGGCTATCCGCTATGTCGTGCAAGGCGGCGGAGTAGTGTCCGCTTACAATCTTGCCGCTGCACCGAAGTCGGGTTATCCAGACAATGCTATCAACCCGGCTTGGCGGGAGACAGTCCTTCACGCGAGTAAGTATCGCTAAAACGTGGTCTTTTCCCATCTCACAAATCGCAAATTGCCCTATGGTTCGACAATGAATTACGCTAACCACCGTTATTATAGTCGATATCGTCTCATGGTCCCAGGATATGTACACCGAGCTCATCACGATCTGGAGCAACGTATTAACATCGGACTGGGGAGCGATGTGGCGTTCCGTCTCGCCAACCTCGGGATCCTACCTTTCGGAGTCGGATTACATCCAGCCAGACTTTCAGTATACCTTCTGGGGTAATAAGTACGATAGGTTATATAAGTTGAAGAAGAAGTTAGATCCCTGGTCTGTATTTTATGCGCAGAACGCTGTTGGATCGGAAGATTGGGAGATGTCGGATTATATCTTTGGAAACTTGCCTTCGCAGAACAGTCGCTTGTGTCTCAAGGGTACCAATCCCTCACAACAGAGTCATACCGAGGAAATTGATTCATAGTTTTGGATAGTATGTACGGGGAATTACCGTCGAATGCTCATTGCTCAACTTGATATGATACACCCGCTCTATACGCATACGTATAATAATTCTGTTATAATCTACCTAGGTGCTCTATTGACTCTCATGCGATAGACGTTATCTATCCAACAGGAGATGTCCTCGATTCGAGTACCTAGGTAGGTAGGGGAAAGGTCACTGCAACACATCATCGTTGTAAAGGAGTATGCATAAAAGCAATAATACAATTATTAAGATTAAGTGCTTATCGAGATCCCTGCCCCGCTACTAGGTACCTAGGTATCTACCGCCACTAGAAACCTTACAACCTTGCAAGCTTGAAAATGAACATTTATTTCTATTTCACTTCGAAGCCTAATCGTAACATCTTCATCTCCTAGTAACTAACAAATAAACAACACTGATATTCGTAATAAGGCCTGAAACCCTGATCGTACCTGGATCATATTGAGGAACAAATATTTGTCTAGGTATCATTTACAACCGCTCACGACCGCCTAGGCCGTCCCAAATATTTCCCACCGAAGAGCGAAGAGCCTGCCGTTTGGTGGGGCATAACTGATATGCGTCCGAGTTGTTTGATGCTTGTGAAAGCTTCGGTACTCGGCTCCTCCTCGAAGCAAAATAAAATCTAGTTATCATGGCATCGTCTCCTTCGAGGTCAACCAACCAGGTAGATCCTGATGCAGATAAGATGTGGAAAAACGACTCTATCGAGGAGCGTATCTTCTCGGCAGCTCTCATATGCCTCGAGGGTCACTACAACCAGTCTCCTGTTATGGGGTCTCAATCTATCTCCAAAATCACCAGTATTATTTCGAAAACGCTAGAGAAGACACATACCTTCAAAGACGTTAGGTAGGTATTACTAATAACGAAGACTACCTAGACACCCTCATCTTGCCAAGGCCTTACTAACACGCTGCTATCAGGGAGATATTATCGAGGAACGTGCGCGTTTGGATATGGTTACGTCGAGCTGTGTGTGCAGCCATATGCGACCTGAACGAGAAATCCCTCGGCGTACGATCCAAGCCTTTCGTGCAAACTAAATTCCTTGATATCACTACCCCAGAGGTTACCGCCTTGATTATTAAGAATTATACGCCTCTAAAAGAAGCCTTACAGATGTTAAACAAGCTTATGCACATTGCTCGTAATCTTCTAGTCACAACCGATCCCGAGGTACCCCAAGATCTATCGGCGGCTATCCACTTCGACCACGAGGTTTATGAGTCAATATGCCTCTGTGTTAATGTCACTAGCAAAGGAATCGACGGCGAGATGCCGGAAGATGAGGCTTCCAGGGCCAAACTAAATGAGATAACCGAACTCTGTAAGTCTTGTATTTTCCTAGTCTGCGACATCAGCTTGTCTAATAATAAATAACTAGGTAAGAAGGTTCTCGTGACGTCTCTACAACAGGCCCATAACTGGATAGCTAAGAACGATCGAAACAAGATGTTGTTTTGGTTTAAAGTATTAATTGAGTCGCCGGACGCCGATAGCAACCCGGGCCCGGAAGATCGCCATGAGTCAGTTCTAGATTACCCAGCTCCTAGAAGTATTCATCTCCGGGACGAAATATCGAATTGGCTCAAGAGATCATCGCGCATGTGTGACGCCGCCGCTAGCATCTGCAAGGAATATCTCGACGCGCAAAATACCGAAAAGAAGGAACAATGGTTGCCTTATGATGGGAGCCTTCTCGCCTGGAATTACACTCCACCAGAAACATGGGCTTGGCAACCCGACATTTACGACGATGCCGCCGAGGTGGTCTCAACGTGGAATCCCGAGGCCAATGATAAGTTCGAGCAGGACAAAGTATATGGTCGCGTATCGCATGAGCTCGACAAGTGGTGGTATGGTGCACGTATCCCCAATTCTAACGACTGGAGCCTGACTATGTACTCGACTGTCGAATCCGTACCCCGACGTATTAAGGAATGCGAGGAAAATCTCATGCAACGCTATGCCGGGGCAGACCACCAGGAGGAGCCCAGTGAGGTACTTGAGCACTCAGGAGATGACGGACAAAATAACGAGTGGCAAGACCAAGCGCCATCAGCGTCGCAAAATTTCGCTCCTGAGTACGACGAGTACGAGGAAGAAGCGGATGATGATGAGTCATATGGCGAAGGACCAATGACTGGACTTCTTACTGAGGTACCAAATATCCTAGATCCCAAGCAGATTGAAGCTCTTCATATGATAGTTAAGTCATGTATATTGGATTCGGCTGGGTCTGGCTCGACTAGATTTGGCGAGAACCTGCAACAAACCCGGTGTCGCATCTTCCTCGCTACAGATTGTGGGAGGAACCTTTTGCGTGAAATGCTTGTTTTCATCGCCGTGTGGGAAAAAGACGAACAATCTCTCATATTTCAAATCAGCAGCCAGATTGTGCAGGCAATCCACGAGAATTCGCTTATCCCGTATGCATGGATGGCCCTCCGGAGTCCAAAAGATATAATATCTCCGGCGCAAACAGTTTTACTGCGCCTTATTACCTACCTGTTTCGCACGGCTCTCTTCCCGCCGAAAGACTACAACCCCTTCCCAGATCCTAAAACACAGGATGTAGAAAAAATACTCTCGAACGAAGATGTCCGCCTCGGCAAGATGCTCAACTACTTATATGGTTTATTCCGGAGCCGTATTGTTCCGGAGTGCGTGGCATTGATGCAGATACAAGGCGAAGTCCGCAAGGGCCGGTTAGACCCCTCGGAGTTTCCCGTCGATAACTGGGATCTGGAGCGGGCAAAGGATGGCTTAGTACAATACCTTGATTTCCTTTATACCGTTGCTGACATTTACACTCTCCGTCAGCATCTTATTGACTACGAAGCCGTATATGAACTTCTTAAGCTGCTCGAGGGCCTGGATATCGGCGTAGAAAAGGCACCTTTTCCAGGCACACGACGAAACGAACCTTCTACAACTACTTCCACCACAACCTCAATCCCCCAAGCCTCATCATCTAATAATGCGCCCCCGCCACCGCCTCCCCCACCTCCCATTTCCGACCCGCCACACGAGTTCCCCTGGTCCGGTATCAAAGGCCAGGTCCTATCTATCCTTGCTGCTCTACTGCAGCCACCACCTGGTCAATCCTCGCCTGGCAACCCAACGGTGCAGCTTCAAATCTTACAGCACAACGGAATCGTTGCACTGCTTAATTGTTGTTTATATGACGACAACAATCGCTTCTGTCGCGAGCGCACACAACTCTGTCTGAAATGGTTAATGGACGGTTGCCCGGACGCCTCAGCGTTTTTGCAGAACTTAGTGAGCGCCAACCAGGGGCAACCGGCGACGCGTCCACCGGCGGGCAGTGCCAGTGTAACGCAAAGCGTCCGAATCGACGGTGTACCTGGTGAGGTTCGAGTTCAAGTGCGCAGCTCAAGCGCGCCCGTTGGAGAGGTCGGTGAGGTAGTGGGGGACACGACCGCTGTGGGTGCGAACCTGAGGAGCAGATTAGAACAGAACCAAAGTCAGCGCGATGAGCTCGTCAACGACCTCCTCGCACTGACGGTAGTGGACGAGTCGGGTAAGATGACTATCGCGCCCGATGGAAACGAAACAGAGGATGACGATTTCATGTAGTGGCCCGGAGGGTTTGAAGAGGGTCTACACTAGATGACTAGGTATGTACGACGGTGGTTTGTGGCGGTACGAAGTTCGTGAATATGCATTTCATGTCCTACGGGTTGCATCGGATAGGCGTAAAAAACGGTGTGCATTAGGTAGATATAGGTAACAGGTATTAAGAGGCGTTATTTGTTACTTTTGTTACTTTTGTTACTGAATATTATTACCTCGATGTCTGCATTTGCGGTGGAGATTGATAGGAAGGATATTGTCTTGAATCCCGGCGAGTAAGCTATCATGAATGACACCTCACCTAATAGGTGATAACTTGGATAATCATTTGAAGGTGGAAAATACCTCTATTTCTTCGATCCCGTTATCTTTTATCTCTATACCCCGGTATCTATCTAGCGGTAAATTGAAAGCCAGTATAGCACTGTACGGATATTCCAATCCCTAAATCCCCGAGGGCAACTTACACGATCTTGAACAAATGTTCAAATAATTCGCCATCGCGAGCAACCAAACCTATGAGTATCTCGCTTGTGAGGGTCTCTAACACGTCAGGATCCCCAGTATTCAGCCTCCTCTTTATGAATTCATCCATCCCGTTTTCTTTTTGGACATTGATCATTTTATCTATTCTTGAAAATCGAGAGTGAAGATCCTCATTGTTGGGATTGCCTTGCGCCATATCTTGAGCATTAGAAGCGCCTTTGGAATTGGTTTTCAATTGACTATAGCATTTGAGCTTCTCTTCGAATTTGGTTTGCGCGACTCCTGATACGTCCTCCGACGGTGTATTGCATTGGGAAGAAGCGTCGGCATATCGATAGTACCTACTCGTAGCATTCCTATTATCGATGTTTAACTTATCAAGTGTTCTACCAGAACCTCTCGAGATGTCGCTGACTTCAGTCCCTTGACTATGGTCTATGTCTCCTGTGTTGGCCTGGCTCTTAGCATTTGGCGCACCATGGTTCAGACTGACCGTCGCTGTGTTATCATATGGGTCTAATTTCCTGGTACTATCCGCTTGCTCGCGCTTCTTTGATGTTAGTAGATCCTCGTTGAGTCCATCTTCACTGTCTGAACTCTGTGTTGTATTATCGTCGAATTCTCCGAGAAATGTGGTGGGTCGGTCTTCTGTAGTGGGCGTTTTCATGTGATTAGTTTTGTTTGACTGTGGCTCTTGAACTTTGGGATTGGCTAATAATGATGATTTAGAAGTCTCGGAAGTAACAGCCTGAGATTGGCCCCGAAACACGTTGATTTTGATCCTCTTAGAGGAATTAGGTCCTAAAGTAGTATTCTCATTCACTCGCTTTTGACCCCCTATTGGTATATCTACACCGTGATCGAAGGGGGATATGGTTGAACTTAATTCTTCTAGATTATTCTTGTTAGGCAGCTTCGTTCTGGAACCGCGTTTGGCAACTCGGCGTGTAGAATTTGACGATTTCACTGGTAGTGCCGAATTGTCAAGCACAACACTATCTGTTGTTGGGAGATCGGTTTCGGTCTCTTGAGCTTCTCTGTATTGTGAGAGTGTGCTTGAACGAGTTGAAACTGAATAGTGAAAGTCATCTAACATTGACGAAGAGGCTGGTCTTGGAGGATGAGTATAATTGCTACTATTTTCACGATTGACAAGTTGGTTGGGGCGATTAGGAACTGAATAGGGTCTATCTGATGATAGTTGTAGTGAAGGAATGGGCATGGGATGTTGGTCGGTACTGTTCATAGCAGCACGTTGCATTCGTAGGGGAACAGCACGAGGGCCGCCCGACAATGAAGCATGCTCTTGGGGCCATCTTTGGCGTGGAAGATAGCCGTAAGCAGCTGGAAGTGCTACTAAGGGCTGCGAATATCCGAACCGTGGTCCATATAGACTAGGGGGTGGAGATGATGATGACGGTGGTGCTTGAGTTGGCGTTATAAGTCTGCGATAAGTTGTTGGCTGCATTATGTGAGGCTTTCATATCTAGCGCTATATAGTTATTCATTGGCTTAAGGAAGATGACGGAGTGGAGGGAACATATAGAAAAGGATTTGATAAAAGATATATATTTGATATATCTATTAAGGTGTTTTGTGTGTGTGTATCTATTCGTTGATGAAGATGTAAAAAAGAAGGGAAGAAAATTGTGTGAAGAGAAGGGAAGGTAGTGTGTTAACGTTGGCTGTTACTTACAAGTAACAATGTTACACAGCCTACAAGATGTTACTTCTCCACATGCGTGAGGGAAGTAGGTACCTTCTTGTGTTGCACAAAGCTTATTCAGATAATGCTTAATAGGTCGGAGCTGGAGCTGCTAAGTTGTACTAAGATCAAAATAGGATTAGCGTTAATGAGCACAGACCATTTTTCACATCTTTTCTGGTTCGACACGACTCGGAACTCCATCCATTTCATTTTCGCGATCCTACCCCTACCGCTACCCGCCTACCTACTAAAATAATTTACTAAGCTTGCGACCAATTCTGTCGCGCGTCAACCTGCGCATCGCCGAATCCCAGCCGCGCATTTTTGTCGCATTCACCTCAATCACAAAATTAATCATATACCTAAACCCGGCGAATGTGCCACTGAATGGTCCTTACCTAGGTAAACCCTTCCCAATTTCCCTCTCGCCGTTTGCCTCGCCAAGGCCACGCAACACCATAATTAACCAGTTAATCCACCTGCCATTGAACGACCAAGTGAGCAAGCAACGGAATAAGTAAACGAAGCTTGTGACCGATGATTTCACTCACTCGTTAAATCGCCGATTTGCCTACCATTCCTCCTACGAATCTAGGTACCGCGAAACACTCTGATAAACCCATTGGGCTAACCGCCCTATCGAATCAAGATGGCCCCGAATCGTGGCGCCGGCAAGGAGGAGGTTTATGTCCACGGGATCGACCGAACCCCCGAGTATGAAGAATTTATCCGAAAGCTTACCGCTTTTCATGAGAAACGCGGCACATCGCTCGAGCCCGAACCAAGACTCCCCACTATGTACGGCCATGTGAACGTTGACCTTTTCAAGCTCTATAAAGAGGTCATCGCAAGAGGAGGCTATGATGAGCTGAATAAAGTTCAGAAGGCTTGGGGCGCTCTAGCGGCGGACTTAGGCATGCATCAGAACGATAGCAAGGGAATAGGGCAGCTTTCATTCCAGCTGAAGCAGGACTTCTACCGATACCTGGCTGCCTACTGGGTACAAGACCATTACGGCAGGGACCCTCCGCCCAAAGAGATCCTAGAGCACCAATCCTGTGCCAGCAAGTTTGGACCCGTATTGACCCGCACTGTCGAGAACTTCAAGGCTTCTGCCGGTCGCTCTGGAGTAGAGACACCTACTCGAGATGAGCGTCAGGGAGAAGGCACTCCAGTCTCGGGAAACAGAGCTTCCGGTCGTCTTCGTGAAGCTCCTGCCCAAAGAGTTCCTTTTCAGCCTGAGACCGGCCCGAGTCGCCAGCCTCGACAAGCTTCTTCTCAACATGCGACCCCTACGGCTAACACCAATACATCTCATAATCCCAACACCCCGCATACCCAGCGTCCCAATCATCACCTTCCTCAACACCATAGTTCTAATAACCCTCTACACCTAATCCAGGCTCATCAAGCAGCTGTCGTCCGCGGCGCCTCGAGCGCCTTTACTCCTACGAACCCAGAAACCTCGTCACGTCTAGCCGAGGTGTTTGAGCCCCGTGCTCCTATAACCGTCCCTCTTCGTCCCGTAAGCACCCCGGGAAGCAACCCCGAATTCGCCAAGCGACAACGTCAGGCACGTTTGGCTGCGGGCTTGCCGGATGCCGAGCAGCCTGTTCGTCAATTTATCCCGGGCGTGAGTTTCGAAGGACCCAATATTTATATGCGTTGCCTTCAAGCCCTCCGCTCGGGGATCCCCGCGGAACAGTCATTTGCGCTTAACCATCTCGTTAAGATATCATTTGAACGAGGCGATAAGTACAAGTTTGAATCCTTCCTAGGATTGGCTGAAGGCCTAATCGAGAAGGCCCTTGAGATTAGTAGTCTCTTCTACCACATTAGATGGGAGGTTGCTTATTTCGTTGATCCAGACAACTCTGATATTGCCGTTCTCGATGGGTTCAATGGAACGAGTGATATCCTGGAACGAATCGCGAAACTCAAGCCGAAGTCAGTTCTTGACTATATGCAATCGGCAGAGTTTAGCGATCGTCTATTACGAATTACTGAGGCTGTTCTAACCATCCGTAATATGGTCATGTTGGTGGAGAACGCCATCTTCATGGCAGACATGAATTCCCTGAAAGATCTGTTGTGCATCATCCTTCACCTCCCGAATCTCGAGATGCTCGTTGAGATCAAGCACTTTGCTCTGGACACTGCCGAGCAGCTTACCCCATGGCTCGTCTTAGACTCCAACGATCCGCTGTATCGAACACTATTGTCTCAGCTGAACTCAACGGACCGAGGCACGATTCTAACATCTCTTCGCGCTATCAGCCGGATCTCCATGAACTTAGAAGCAACAAATCAGATGCAGAACGTCCCCACTGTTGTCCTTCAGAACATCATGAATTGGCTTTTACTCAACGACGAGGAACTCATGGATGCTTGCTTGGACTTCCTTTACCAATATACGGCTGTAGTAGCCAACGTCGAGTCCCTACTGAAGGCCGTTAACATGGAGCATGTAGTTCCACATCTCGTGAGACTCTTGGCCCACGGTGCCAAGCGAGTTAGAGAGGACAGAGTCCTGGAACCCGAACGTAAGGCCCCGGCTTCCGAAGAGGTAGCACCATTGCCGCCTGATCTTCAGGAGACACTGACAGGCACGGATGAACCTCACCGATGCTATCAGTGGCTTAAAAGCCTTTTCGAAGAGGACTCCGAATCTCATATCACGCAAATTGCTATTTGGCAAGCGTATCAAAGCTCGTTTGGTGCTTTGGCTGGTGCGGCCGGCGCCCCGAGGAACGTGCTTAGCGCAGCGGACTTTATAAGAAATGTTAGTTCCGTCTTTGCTAACGCAAGAGCTCAAATCATCAGGCGCCAGCACCTCGATCAGGCAGATCTTTTCATAATAGAAGGCATTCGGGCAAGGCCAGTACCGGTACAGCCTGACACGAAGCAGGAATACTCTGCGTGCCAGTGGGCGGTAACCAAAGGCCCATACCTTAAGAAGTGTAATCGCTTCTTCCTCGGAGGGGACAAAATGTGGCATCACGTCTTAACGGCTCATCTCGGCGTTACTTTGGGCGAAAATGGTAAATTCGAGGACAAAGATGTAAACGCGTCTTGCGACTGGCAGGACTGCACGAAGTATCCGAATCCTACTCAAACGAAACTATCAGAATTTGCAAGCCATCTCAAGACACACCTTCTCCCTGTCAGACGACCAATAAAGGCCTATATCACTCCAGCGAAGACTATGAGCCTCGCTTGGGAACAGACCATCTCTACAAGAGATGAGCGGAACCCCAAGCTTGAGCAGGCGGCTGGGATTCCGTTGAGCGCTGTGCTGGTTTTACGTAACATTGCACGCAACGTAGTTAAGACGGAGTCAGAGGAGCAACTACTTAAGCAACATGAGATGGGAGGCGAGGGCGGCGGATGGAACGAGAAGCTTTTCCGCCCTGTCATGGCACGCTTGTACGAGGTCATGACGGAGAATAAGGCTTTGGTAGGTTATTTTCTTGTACACCTCAAAAGCAAAAAATATTACTCTGCTATATCCCTTCCTCATACTATTTTTTATTTTATTAACAAATCTCTAGGCCGACTACATCACGTCACTCCTACAGTTGGTACAAGGTGACTAGGAGAATAAAGTCGATGTTAGGGTAATTGATCGGTTCGATATGGAAATCGACATCTTTTTCGCGGGCAGGAATAATACCCAGGCGTTCTGAATTCGGATGGTCGGAAAGAAGCAAAGGCGGTTTACGTAGCTAGGTAGCACAGGTTTCTGATTTCTTGCTTTGAGAACCGCAAAATCAAGGTTGGGAACTGGTACATAGCACCCAGTGATGCAGATCTATGTCTTAGGTAATAATCAATATTGCCCTTGTCTGTTAAATTTTGTTGCGATTGTGAGCATTAAGCTGCATTTTTATAAAAATTAAATGGTTACAGAAACTAGGGCATTTCGTATAGGTTCATAAGATAGGTAGAATTAAATATCGTATCAATTTTTATTTATGCCTGTTTGCCCGATTTTATGAGTGTTCTACAGATAATTCAGTCAAATCCACAGGGTCCTTTTATAGCCTCATTCGGACTACCACATATCAGCAGCACAATAACTCGCTAGGGTGGCTTGCCGAGACCTCTAATCTCGCCTTCCAGCCTGCCCTTCACGTACGGCCTGGAGGATGAGCTCTTTAGCCTTCTCACATCCCTCTTTGGAGCCCAGGATCTCAATGGCTTCATCTCTAGCTTGGTCACGTGGAACGTTGATTTTACATCCACTCTGCTTTCGAATCGAGTTGACCTTAGAGCCGCCCTGCCCAATGACATGTCGATATGTTGACGGGTCTGGCAAAACGAGGTAGCCGGTAGTATTGTTTTTCTGGGCTTGCTCTAGTGCCGCTGTAATAACCTTCTTTGCCTTTTCGATATTTTCCGGGTTGCCTCTTAGTACCCACGGAATGTCACCGTCCTCAGAGGAGGCGTTATCAACAATAGACCAACTATGCGCATCTAAGGAGGACTCAGCGTCGTCCGTTATCAAAGGCAGCGAACCTGTGTTAGTTCTCGTAGACGAGGGCTTGGGCTTCGGTGGTACAGAGTGGCCAGCATGATCTACAGTAATCTTTTGTTCGCTTCTAAGCCTTCTGAAGAATTGACCATTCTCCGAGATAGCGTGGTGATACTTCCGCGGGACCTGGATTGTCTCGCCTTGTTGCTCTTTAATTGTCGATAACAAATGTTCCTTCGCTTTTTCAACAGCAGCAGGCTGGCCGACTACTTTCACACCAGTTAACCCGCTCCCTTGCCGCGGAATGTCGATAGAGACATTGAATTGAGATTCGAGCTGGCGTTTTGCCTCGCCACCTCGCCCAATAAGCGACCGATGTTTCTCGACGGGCACCTCAACAGTCTCCGCGACCTGGCTCTCGCGGTCCGATACAAGGCTCTGAATGCTAGCAATGATCTTGTCGACAACGTCCTGCCGCCCTTCGATTCTGATTGAATTTCCATCTGCATCTTGCTTGGGGAACTGAATGGTTCGAGCCTGGAGGCGCCTGTCTTCTGGCCCTCCGGCTTTAATGACGATATCGCGAAGTGTAGAGCCTTTTAAAAATTAGTTCATCAACCATAAAATTCTCAAAGGGGCATACGTACCACCAGGACCAATCAAATTCTTATGCCACTTCCTATCAATTTCTAGTGTCTTCGTGACGGTCTCATCGAAAACTGCTTTCTTCTCTTCGATAATCTTCTTGGCGGCCGCAACCTGCGCTTTAGTACCTTTGATTTGAATCTCCACCAACGCGTCTTCAGCTTCGTTGCGGTCGTTGGGGATATCAATCTTAGCACCTGTAGTCTGGCGAAGCTCATCCATACCGGCACCGCCAGAACCAATTAGCGATGGAAGTTGTTTTTGTTGCACAGTTACGGTGGTAATAAATGAATTTTCTTTCAGGTATTGGTAGAGAGAGAAGATCTCGTCACGGGCTTCGTCTGCACCTTTCTTCGGACCTCTGATCGTGACCTCATCAGGGGCTTGCTGTCGCCGAGGCTTTCCAGCTTCGCTGGCTGCATCCGCAACGGAATCATCATCCTTTCCAGGCTTTGCGGATTTCGGAAAGTTGATATGGACAGCGTAGCGATTTTGTAGGCGAAGAATCTGACTACCCTGTGCTCCAATCAATTCTCGGTGGTACTTAGGTTCGATCTTCAGGGTGTGAGTTGTTTCGTCCGCCCACTGTCGAGCAAGGGATTGGATATGGGACCTTGCTCGCTCAGCCTTGGCTTTTGGACCTTTCAGCTCGACCTCTCCATTCTGGACCTGAATATCCACGTCAAACTTCTCACGTAGTTCGTTGATATGGCTGCCACCCTTCCCAATAAGATGGTTGGCAAACTTCTGTGGGAAGTCGAATTTAAGTGAATTATCGCGCTCCTTTTCGTCTTTCTTCTCCTGCTCGACAAAGTCTGCCGCTTTTTTCGAGAGGGACTCGACGTTGGAAGAGGGGCCTCGCATTGTGACCGTAGTGCCTTTCACGCTGACTCTAACAGGGATATCACCGGCTGCGCGAGTCGTCACATCCTGCTCCTTCTTAATGAACCTTCGGAGCTTATCCTGGAATCTAGGATAAAAAATACAGATTAGTATCATACGTAAATATTGGATAACCGTACTGAAAAACGTACTTGAGTGGTACTTCAAGAGTCTCCGTGATGATCTGTTCCTGTTTGTTAATGAGTTCTAGGATGTGTTTTCGAGCCTCGGATAATCTTCGCCGGAATTGTTCTAGATCTGAACCAGTCGGAACCTTCTGGGGAACTTGATACGTCTCTTCGGGAGCGGCTTCACCCTCATAGACTAGAAGCACCGGGAGGTCACCTTCCGATCCGTCCGGCACGATCAAATTGACACCAAAGTCATTCTGAACCCTAGGCCCAATATCACTCCTGAGGAACGAGTGAAAGAAGGAATCGACCGGAACCGTTGCCAATCGAGAGGGAGGGTGGCTGTTTATGATGGAGCTCATTTCTTTTTGGGCCTTAAGAGCATTTTTGCCCTCTCTGGCGTACAACTCCCACGGACTGACTATACCCTCTGAATAAGGGGTGTTGATGTGGATTTGGTAGAGCTTCTCCAAGCGTTCGATCTCCTTCCTCTGGCGGAGGTAACGTGAGATATCCCGCGAATAGATCGGAGCACCTCCCACAGCATGGCTGTGGTGTTTCGCAACGTCAAAAACGGAGGTGTGCACTTGTGTTGCGAGATCCATAGCCTTTTCGAGTCCAACGTTCACATCATCAGCTCGGCCGATAACTGTAACGGTATCAATGCCGGGCGTGTTGGGCAAAACAACAACGCAATTGGTGTCGGCAAAGAAGTCCTCGGTAGGAATGCCCCGATCGCCAATAATAAACTGATGAGTGCCTTGGCGGATCTCAACCTGATCGAGCAGTAATTGGTTTTGAAGCTCCTGGACCTGGCGTTCGATCGCAGCTCGCGCGGCCTGAACCGCAGCACGGTCACCAGCAAGTTGAATATAGTTGTCATTAGTAGGTGCCGCGAATGTCGGTCTCTGTCCTGCCACTGGTACTTGTGGAACCGAGGAGGACCATGGCTGATGAGGTGGCACCCGGATTTGGATTCCGTGCTCGGATTCCAGTGCCGAGGTGAGCTTATTATTCGGACCAGCAATGAACGGATAGAACTCGGCCGGGATAGATTTCAGTTTCGTACTAACATTCGCAGATCGTTCCCCAACTATCTTGTTGATAGCGTCGCGAGCTAGGGCTGCCGAGAGGGCATTACCCTCGACAAAGACATCAATCGTGGCATCCTCGTCGTCTTCCAAGTTAGCTGCGCTTTCGTCGGGCTTTGGCAACTGAATTTTGGCGCCAGACTTCTCCTGGATAGACTTAATCGTAGATCCCTGCTTGCCAATGATATGTGCCCTGGCGGATAATGGGATCGGGACTGTTACAGAGGTCTTGAAGGAAAATAAAGTCAGCTAATATCCCACCAAAAAAGGAAGAAATGGCAAATGCGTACCTTAATCCCGATCTGTTGGACCAACTCTCGAAGAGCCTGCTGGGCCTTGTCCTGAGGCCCAGTGGCTTCAAACTTGAGATGACCGCTGGGCGCTGGAGCCAGGCTGATAACAGCACGAGACTTGCGATTAATATCCTTCACGATATCCTGAATTGGGCGCTTGAGCTGATTGCGAGGCAAAACATACCGAGACTCCAAAAGGAGTGTCTCGACATTACGACCAGGTATCGATACAGGTGGTGGTACTCCAGTGGGAGTAGAGACCCCTGAAGCCGGGGTAGAGGTGCGAGGAGTACCATTAGCTGACCATGAGGATCCATTAGCCTTGCCATTCGCCCTCGCGCCACCCCAGATGGGAGATATATTAGACTTAGAAGCAGCTGTTGTTTTGGGGACACCAAGCTCTGGGAAGGCTTCATGCGATTGGGTATCGAGGCGACCCGAGTCTTGGGCGGGCTGCTTTCCAGCAGCTTTAGCGGAAGGGGTCTGCGCCCACGAAGACTTCTCGGGGGTATCGGCGGTGGGAGACGATTTCAACTCTTCGTCAGGCACATCCTCGACGGTGACATGGAGAGGATTCTCAGCATGCTTTTGGAGGAGTCTTGCCGCTGCGGAATTTTCCACATTGTTGATCTCGGAAGCCATTTTCGATCGCTGATAGATGGTGAACGAATTCGACGGAGGCGAGGAGGCACGTGAAGAAGGATACTCGTTACCGAATACACAGATATTGAAGAGCTGATTATGGCATGTAAGTTATAGAAGACAAATAAATAGGCTATGCAGAGGAATTATGAAGAGCAAGATATACCGGGAAAGTAAGAAGAGACGGACACTTACTACCTAGGCAAAGTCTATGAAGCTCAATGGCAATAACAAGAGGAATGTTGTCTAGAAACAAGTAGCGGCAAGGCCAATTGGGGGTAGAATCACACGTAGATAGTAGTACCGAGACAGTAGACGACGAGGAGATGGAGAGTTGGATGGGCCAGAGAAAACTAGAACATGATGCAGGCAAGGAAAGATGGGAAATATTAATATTTTATATGTTGACGGTGTATATATCTAATAGGGACGAAAAGAAGAGTAGTTTGCTGTAGGCTTGTTGCGAGGAATCCACCGAATGACCTGAATCACGAAAGATTCGTCAAGACGCGGAATGGGAATGGAAATGGTGAAGTAGTTTGGGGTGTATGTAGGTGATGATGCTATGCACAAGACGTAAAAAAGGGTGAGGTGGAAGTTTACTGGACGAAAGTGCTTAGCCAACAATTCGACTTTTCCATTTTTATTGATCCGAAGCGAAGCGATGCCAGGTGGAAGGCTCAAACCTCCGAACCTTTCTTGACTGCATGTACGCCTGCATGTAGGTACTGTCACGCTTAACTTTGTACTGCAAAGTACATCTGTAGGGATTGAAGAAAAAGACAGAAAAAAAAAAAAAAGAAGGGTCACCAAGCTAAGCTAAATGCTAATCCCCGCTAATACGCCCCACTTTCCCATACTACTGTTCCCCCAATCCATGGATAATTTCAGCCTTGAACCCAATCGTGGCGTCCCCAATAGATCATTTCTATGCGGGATGGGGTTATTCGGATTTTTAAAGCTCCAGGCTTATTGGCAGGAGATCCGTATTATGTAATTTACCTACATACATAAGTAGAAACGCCACCTACCTACCTAGGTCATAGCACCTGACCTCAGCGCTATAAATTCCCAATTGCGCTGATAACGTTCGTTCCCTTACATCATATATGCACATGTGCCTATGTACAATGCCTAGATACTCAAGTGTAACTGCTTCCAGACATAATTAATATTCAACGTTCCCAAGGCAAATAGGTATTCATACGAATGCGTATCACCAACTGATAACGCTACAGTATAATCGGCTACGTACCCAATCGGCACCTGATGCCACGATACGAGTAAATGATACGTGCATACATCTGTACGCTCTATCTTTTATACAAGTAGATTTACCCGCCAGTGGCACCATCATGACATGACCGTCGACAGAACATATACTTAGTTATAGTATACGAAGATGAGCTGTATAATGTCGTTCGACTCGTTCGATATTAAAGGCTAGCCGATGGGCAATCGGTTTCAATTCCAACAAGGCTGTGTACTCTCACATCAACTCACTTCTAGGTTATTGGTAAGGCACTGGAAACACTGAGCTGTCATGCATGTGATCTATGTGTGCGTATGTGTTTCTAGGCCAATGAAAAACTCTGACGAATAACCCAAGTATGTAGCCTACCGGCTACGCGTGTCCTTATATTGGTGCTTCAATATTTGGAACGGGAGGCGCAGTCCTTATAACAATCGCGTTTATAATGAGTAGTAAAATGCGTTGGCTAGCAAGTACTTATATGAATGCATCAACCTGAAAACGAAGTCTTGAATCGAATTACATTATTAGATTGGTATATACCCAGGTACATATGCAGCCAATCAAGTCTGATTCAAGATGGCTCATTCATCAAGTACTGGGTAAGAGGCTCTGGATTGAAGGGGGGGATACAATCTAAGCGTTAAAATGTGACCTCCGGCGTAGGGTATGTCCAATAAGCATCCAGGTGCTCTTCCGACATTCTACCCGGAATGTGCTTCTTTGAAGATTTCCCGGGACGTCCCCAGCTATGTTTTTCGGATTCTATGGTTTCGCAGAAACACAACTACCAAAGTATTATCTTAACTGGAAGAAGGGGGGGGAAAGATACCTACCTAGGTATAGGTTATGCGCTGAGGGCCTCGAGACTTCCACGGAAACGAACAACTACTGGTCACCTAGTAGACCGTGATACTGCAGCGGATCTGGTAGATGAGGGGTGACGAGAAACATATACGTGATTAATGCCTCCAAAGGAATATTTGAGACTCGCTAACGCTACTGAAACTCTTCGACACCAAATATCCACTCACTTTTTTCTTTTCTTTTTTTTTCGTTTTTCTTTCTTTTCTTTCTCTGTTTTTTCCCCTCTTAGAGAAACGGTGCTAGCCCATTAACCTCAATAACGATACCAGGTTCGGCAGTCCGGACTTTCTACCCTGATCGGAACATCACCACGGCGGGTCTTGAAGAGTTCAATAGTAACATTTGAAAGATGGTCGTAATACAACGGCCGTCTAACCTTACGTGATGTGTATGGGTGGGTGAGTGTGTGTATGTCCAGTGACACGCCTCGGATCTTCCCTTAGGAAAGTGCATACGTAATGCCACGAGAGTAACAATATAACAATGAAGGACAAGCCTTATCCTCACAAGGTCGGAGAACTGGGATAAAACAAACAAGAACAAAGATAGAAAAAAGGAGACTAACATGATACCACGATATTCGAACCAGCCGCCAACTTAAAATGGTTACCCGTCAAGATATAGTTCTATGCGGACGGGGTAACTTTAGGAAGGTACTACATATGTATTATGCCAAGCCTAACCCAGTTGCTGGCTGCTGGTTGCTTTCTTCAACGGGCCGGCCTTTTAGCTGCCTTTTAGCTGCTCTTTAGCTGCAGAGGAGGCCCGCATGATAAACCCGCATACGACAGGTTAGACTTTAGGTAACCTGGCAGCCTGGTAGCTTCTATTCAAGCATGCGGCATGAAGCATGATATACAAAAGACTAGGCGATTATTAGTATTGATCAACCAACCGAGTTATTCTAAATGTGTAAACTAACCAAATAGCCGCAAATCGCAAATCAAGCTGCGAACGGTCTTATTTGCGACACACTCCTACTGTATTCTTAGGTGAATATATGGGTATGTGGCTTGGGTAGAGGGCAGTGCGAAGCGTGCAGCTCAAAGATACATATGTACATATTCGGGAATGATGTTGTAACGCAAATAATACAGTAATTTCATTGATGGTATAATTTGTATTTTTAGTATTCACTTCTCTGCCAATTTGTACTTCACACAGTATGTATTTCTACACTGACAAGGTGCTTGTCGAGTATGTACTTAGGTACATAAGCCAAACGACCCCTCCTCTCCTTCCATTACATGATGTAGTCTTTGTATGTAAGTACATATATATACCTACACGTAGGTAGGTACATCCTACATATCTGCCACTAACTTTACTTGACGGCACCTTCCACCGGGTTTGAAGAAGAGACACCTCACCCCGATTGAATGTGGAAGAGCGAATGACCAATGACCAATGACCAATGATGTAGGAGGGGGAGAAGGCACGTCCTCAATTACATACAATCAACTCATTCGACTCACTTATTCTGTAGTGGAGAAAACCTTTCCCTTTTTTCTCTTTTCTTCCCTCGCTCTAGCCTCAAAATTCATTTCGATTGCTTCTTTAAACACATACATACAACAATCAATACGCACGCACCCCTTAGCCGCCGACCTTATCCGTTAGTGGAATAATAAACGTGTTATCACAAACCCGAAGTAGTAAAAGAAGGAGAGATAGGTTACATACCTAGGTACATGCATACATAATAAAAACAGGTAGGTAGGGGACCTAAAAGATAATAATAACATACGTACATTTGGGGACTGAAATATCAAGTACACTGAATAGCTAGGCGTTAAAAAGGGAAGACGAGAAGGGGAAGAGAAGAAAAAATAAAATAAAATAAAATAATTAGGAAAAAAAAGGGAAAGCGCCTAGGTACATGCAAGCTTTTTGCGGGGGGGGGGGGGGGGGGGGGGGGGGGGGGGGGCGGGGGGGGGGGGGGGGGGGGGGGGGGGGGCTGC